TCCCGATGCTGGCCTTGGGTTGGTTGGTTGTTTAACGCCGCACTCAGCAATATTCCAGCTATATGACGGCAGTCTGTAAATTATTGAGTCTGGACAATCCAGTGATTGATATCATGAGCATCGATCTACGCAATTGGGATCGATGACATGCATGAACCAAGTCAGCGAATCTGACCACCCAATCCCGTTAGTCGCCTCTTATGACGCTGGCCTCAGGACTTCGCTCGCAATGCGATTCACCGGAGGCACGAAGAAACAATGGCACTGCTTAAACCAGGGACTAACACGGTGTCGAACTCGGGTGGTTACAGGGTAGGTTGGTCTGGTTGCTTTAGTGTATCATTATACCCGATGACCCATTGCGATTATACCTCATGAATATGCATTGATATTCTAATGTGTGAGCTAGCCCTCGCATGATGATATTCCGTTTTCTACCCGATGACATTATAATTAGCAATTACATAACGCGGAGGCATTGCACATTGTTATTAATTGGCACAGTTACCCCTAACTAATTAGCCTATCGCACGGTCTCGTATACATATTGAAAGATTTGTCAACTTATTTTTGTTACAATAAAATAACTGTTAGTAAAGGTATATAAAGGCGTCTCCTTCAACCAACATACATTGAACATAGTTCCACACTTGTCAAAGCCGAGATATCTTTCCCTTCTTTGTGGTCCTCTTGGTTGTTGTAGGCACGGGTGGCTGTGCAGAGTTGCGTCCCTTACAAGTGCCAGAAACCTATGAATGTGGGTTCTAATCCCATTTCGCCCCGATTATGTTTCTAGGTTTGCCAGCACCATACCCGTACTCGTGGGGTTCACCAAAGTAGTAAACGTCTGAGACTTGCATCACTCCGGGCTTTCCTCCCACATTAAGCTGACACGCCGCGATATAACTGGAATACTGCTTAAATCGTATTCACTAACTCACTTTTGGTTTTTGAGGACACGATAATTTTAGAACACTAACGATTTATGCTTGGACCGATAACTGGCCGGACCCTTGACTCGTGGGCCCCCTCAAGGGGCTAATTGTCTCACCAGTGGATCTGAAGAGGACAAACACTTTACGACAAATTAGCCGCCGACGATGAATACAAACTTGTTTGATTTCAAACTGCATGTTTTCACCAAAACACAGTCTCTAACACGCATCTGAGGAAGCGGTTACCCTCAGCACTCGCTCACAACCGTGCGGGACACACGAGTGGTATATTCTCCTTGTAGTGTTTTATTGTACGATAAACAACGATCACGAGTCGTTTATTTTTTATATGAGATATCAACATTATGTACAGCCTCTTTAAGGATGATGATAAAATGTACAAGCTTTGAAAATATTACCCGTATTTTACTAATGATGACTCCCTGGGGAACAACTCACTAGACACTACTACATTCGTGACCATCTCGTGTTATTCCGGGACAAGCCGAATAGCGACTCGTGCCCCTCTCATGGCCATTTTGTGCGACCGGGTTCCGTCTTAGCGCAAACGGGCATACATAAAACAATTGTCAACTCGTTCCGTAATGGTTCACACATATTTCCCCATATATTATATATATTTCAGATGCAATTTAAAGCACATCGGGACGTGCGGGATTATACACTGTGATTGAACACACTTAGCTGTGTCTTGGGTATATTTTTAGACGCAGGACATATATAAAATCAAAAATTATTTCTGAGGGATTCTTTGATGAAGAACTTGAAATCATACGCGCATTCTGATTGGTTTGTCGTATTTTCGCACATAACATTTATCGATAGGGGGACGAGTCTTCTTGCAGGTTACGGAAATGGGCGAGTGGTGACGAATGGACACTACTAGTCATCAAGTCGAATCTCCAGAAATGACGTCATGATAGAACAATGTTTTATCGTGAATTAAACCACGCTTCGTTCGTTATTGTTCTTTGCGATTTATCGCGTGGCTACATTATAGAGATGCATATACGACCCCGGACTGGGGTATAAACACCTATGTATGCCGTAATTCCGATGAAGCATCTCTGTAATCACTTGGTTATCTTTTTCCTCAGGGTGGGTTGTCAAAAATATCTTCATTATTTGTTTTGAAAGAAATGACGGCAAGGTGAAATTAAAACAAGAAACGAAAAAGATTCCCGACACAGGAGTATATCTTTGATGATTCATTATGCTTTGGTTGTAAGATATATATATATGTTTGCCGGCGGCCATCTTGATAAAAATGTTCAAATTGGATTTATTAGCGTTGACGTTTCTCAATTATAATAACTGATACGTTAGAATGCGAAAACTGTTCTCAAAATGTTTCCATCTGTAAATCAAGTTATGAAAGAACAGCGCGTATGGCAGCAATATTCTATAAAGGCTGGAGAAATAACCTCATCTTTAGCTCCATGACAAATGCAGTTTTTGCAGTTTTGGAGGGTCGACACACAAATGGCATGAAGTCATTATTTGCTTCAAGCCCCTATCTATAATAAACCCAGGTCCCAGACACTGAATACATGGTCACTGGGTCATACAAGTGTACAGGAGCAACACGTCTTTGTAGAAAAGAAATTAATGAACATACAGATTAATTTACATTATAACACGCTCGGACAAGTTTCGGTGTTTGAGGATATAACCATAATACACAAACTATGAATATCTCCCGAACTAAAACGTAGATTCAAACGATCATTTATTAATGAATGCACATGTCTATGAACAGAAACATTAACTCCGCTACTGTTTGCCTGCAGACATAACAGCGATCACAGTGTCTACAGGTGTTCACAACGTGGTAGATAGTTGTATGTGGTTTTATTACGGTAGATAAATCATTGGACGAGTGTTATAATTTGATTGGTGCGTTTTGTATGTTGCAGCAGATGTTTCTAGCGATGAATTCATTCTCCAGGAAAAAAAATAATTTAATATATTCTTCACTAATAGGTACAGGTGAGTCCACACCTACGAATCACATGGAAGTACGTGAACCCTACCACTCAAACAAACCATGCCAAGTCAGTTGTGAAGTGACAAGATGCTGCTGCCGTTTGATACATTAGTCTTGAATGTTTAATGTACTCAGATTGAACTCATCAACAGTCGACAGCAACACGATATTCTTACAAGCGTAACAATTCTCCAGATAGTCACAATTCAGCAAGTAACCAAAACAAACAAGACAAACTATGTACAATCATGATCATACAGTAGTATTTATCCGGCAAATATAAGGTGTGTGTGTTGTTGTGTTGAATTGTGTGTATAGCGTGTGTTTGTGTGTGTGTTGTGTTGTTTTGTTTGTGTGTTGTGTGTGTGCGTGTTATGTCGTGTGTGTATGTGTTATGTTCTGAATGTTGTTTTGTTAGTGTGTTGTTGTGTTGTGTGTGTAGTGCGTGTGTTGTGTTTTGTGTGTGTTGTGTTATGTTTTGTATGTTATTTTTTTGTATGTGTTGTATGTGTTATGTGTATTATGTGTGCTGTGCTGTGTGTATTTATCCCGCAAATATAAGGTGTTTGTTGTGTGTGTTACGTTGTGTGTAATTATACCGCAAATATAAGGTGTGTGTGTGTGTGTTGTTATGTGTGTTATGTTGTGTTATGTTGTGTTGTGTGTAATTATACCGCAAATATAAGGTGTGTGTGTTGTTATGTGTTTTGTTATGTGTTGTGTGTAACTATCCCGCAAATATAAAGTGTGTGTGTGTGTGTTGTTATGTGTGTGTTGTGTTGTGTTGTGTTGTGTGTGTGTCTGTCTGTGTCTGTGTCTGTTGTTTTACGCCGCACTTTATTACAGCTATATGCCGCCAGCCTGTAAATAATGGAGTCTGGACCACACGGTCCAGGTGTGGGTAACGATCCACGCTGTAAGGGGACAATGAAACGCTATCAACCAAGTCACAGAGCCTGACCACTGATCCATTACGTTGCTTCTTAAGACCAGCATGGGTTTCTGGGGACCAATTCTACCCGGGAATACTGGCGGGGCCACAAATACAAGCCTGGAAAAACGTTCAGCACTGCTCCACCCCAATGTCCATATATTCAATGTACCATGTGATACTGAGCTCATGTTAACAAATATCTAAGATACCTGATGAAAAGATGGTATACATAACTGTGTGTTCCTCCAGATGGTCGTTAGGACTGGTCATATCACACGAGGCATGGTATGGTTTTACGCCGCTTTTAGCAATAGTCAAGCAATATCATGGCGGGGGACACCAGAAATGGGCTTCACACATTGTACCCATTTTGGGAATCGAACCCGGGTCGTAGGCGTGACGTGCGAACGCTTTAACCACTAGGCTACCCCACCACACCCATGAGGCAAAGAAACAGGTAGCAGTTGAAATAGTAGTCATATTAAACGTCATAATAAACTGCCGGGCAAAAGAACGCATACACTTGAAAATTGGATTTGACCAAAACATTATACGTTATAAAAACGTTAACAGGCTGAAACATTCGCCGAAACCCTGCAAACTTTAGGTCCAAAACACAACTATGATACCCGCATCATCATCATTCAATAACCATTTCTTATGTTTATTTGTTTTCAAACATTGGTGTATGCTTTATTTTGCTCGGCAGTTTATTTATGTGCTATCTGCATGTAGTTTTAACGTCAACGAAAAGCATAATACTATTGATTTAAGGTACTTCATCAAAGTATGCATCCAAGCGGCGTCATATAGCGAATTATTAGCGAGCACCAAAGACGGGTGTGAACTTTCTTTTGTCCGGCAGTATAGTTATGGAGCAGTTACATACATTATGTATTAGGTAATCGATTCCGATTTCTGTATTTTAATACGAGTACGTCACTTTGAAAATAAAAAATAAAAGTGTTTTGTCCTTACCTAAAAAGCAGATATTATTTCAAAGCATTACAATTGTATGTGGAAAAACAGAAAGCGACGCCTAACACTTCTCCAAGTGTAAAGTATAACAAATAATTATGTCAACATCAACTTGTTCTGGGAGTGTTTCAATACTAACACCTACCTGCAGCCCTCCTAGTATATAGAACGCTATAGGCACGTGACTCATGTTTCTGTAACGGAAGACCTTCCGTGGCTGAGGGGGAATTTCAACAGAGACATTTTCCTTCTTCTCAATAGCGGTGTGGGGTTCGACGGTGTACCCGTCGACGAAGGGGGTACAGTCCATGTTGAGTAGGAACGCTGATGCTATCATTGGACTGACGAACGCCCCGAGACCATAGCAGCAATGCATCGCCTGTAGACAAGGACATATGTACGGTAACAACAGAGAAGTCTGTAACTGAAGTTAATGTTTTAACGCCGCTTTGAGGTGAAATGGGGTTTAACGTCGCGTCCAAGATTATTGCACTTACATAGCGACGTACATGCACGTGTGTGTGTGTGTGTGTGGGGGGGGGGGGGGGGGGGGGGGCTGCTGTAGTCCTAGCCCACTGAGATACCATGCCGCAGTTTAACATGAATACCCCACTCAGGGTCGAACCTTCCGTTCTCCGGGCGGACGCTCTACCACTAGACCACGGAGGCGGTCTAATGCCTCTTTGAACAGTATTACAGTTATATGACGGCGTGTCAGCTTGATGTGGGAGCAAAGCCAGGAGTGTTGCTGGTCTTAGACGGTTACTTTGGTGAAACACACGAGCACGGGTATGGTGCTGACAAACCTAGGATCATAACCACGACGAAACAAGGATTCCAATCCACTGGCCCGAGAAAGTGGCGAGCCTCTGAACGACCAGGCCACCCAAGACAGAGTGAGTTGAGTTGTATTTTACGCCGCTTTTAGCAATATTCCAGCAATACCGCGGCGGGGGACACCAGATATGGGCTTCACACACTGTACCCATATGGGGAATCGAACCCGGGTCTTCGGCGTGACTAGCGAACGTGCTTTAACCACTTGGCTCCTTACGCCCCCTCCTTCAGCTGAATATATTTTGTACTACTGCCTCCACATTGCACAACCGTTAAAAATGTATGCTTGCGAATTGTCAGGTGACAAATGTCACGAAAACGCTAGTCAGCACCATTCCAGTAAAACAATAACGATGGTGATAATTAATAATCGAGTCTCGGCCAGACAAGCCATTGGGGACTAGTGGCCAAGGGATTGACACGGCCACTACTCCGTTAGACCGAGACTAGTGAAACTCTAGGGGCGCTCGTTGTTTTCTCCCAATATCTACATAAATTACATAAGCCGCTAGTCCAAACTAGTGAGCTGAGGATTACCTAGATTTGACCAATGGTGTCAACTCCCATTGGTCCAAGCTGTCGGGGCACGCACGCACGCACGCACGCACCTGTTCGCACGCACAACAAACGTCACACGGTGTCCCCACCCGATCCATAAGCACCACCCGGACAAATAGTGCACTCAAACTGATGAACTGCGAACGATAAGCCGTTTTCACCCCAAACAGCTCACCTGGAGGAACGGACCGACGTTCTTGCCGAAGAGGGTGATCATGCGCAGATTGGCGATGGTGTCGATGCAGCCCATGCACCAGCCCATGATCATCAACACCACGATGAGGCCGCCGAGGGTGTCGCAGGCGGGGATGAGGACCATGGAGAAGGAGACGCCGGCTGCACCCACGAGGAGGAGGATGTTGTTCTGGACCCTGGAAATAAACAGACACAATATATATAGTAGGTCTGGGAGTAAACAGACACAATCTTTGACTAAATAGACACAATAATAGCTGTATGTCTGGAAGTAAACAGACAATAAATAAATGTAGGTCTGGGAGTAAACAGACACAATCTGGGAGTAAACAGACACAATAATAGCTGTATGTCTGGAAGTAAACAGACACAATAAATAAATATAGGTCTGAAAACACATACAATATAATACAGACAATAACAGGTGTTTGTCTGGGAGCAAACAGAAACAATGAATAGGCGTAGGACTAAACAGATACAATCAGTAGATGTAGGCATGGGAGTAAACAGAAACAATAACTGGATGTATATCTGGGAGTAAACAGACAAATAAATAAATGCAGGTCAGGCACAAAACAATATCTAATAGGTTTAAATCTGGAGGAATGGTCAGATACAACTACACAAGGTGGCTCAGCAAAGCAATTTTCTCCTAAAAACGTCGAGGCAACAAAATAGGCTGTTCTTTGATTTGTTCTTGAAAAAAAGTAAAGTAAGAATTAAAAAACCCGAAATCCATAACTCAATATAACAAATAAGATAATGCCAAATTTCGAAGTTATTCTGAAAAAGGCAGCCCGCTTGCCTCGAACGACGAATATGTCAACATATTGGGACTTTGATCGAAGAACTTTCGGTGTAATTTGCATTCATTTTTTGGTCCCGGCCATTTGCTGTATATATGCTTAAAACGAAATACAAATATCTCGAACTAAAATCAGTGGTCACTTCGTTATAACCGTAGTTTCCTGTAAATTAATGTCTTGTCATCTGAGCTGCTATTTGTCAGAGATGAAGACGGGGAAGAGTAATGTTGCTTCGTGCCATCTTCGATTATCCAAGGAATTGCATCTTCTTTCTATTACGATAAATACCCATTAGCTACAAGTGTTAAGCCCAACTCACTCATTAGCTACAATAGTTTCCTTTTAAGCCCGATTCAAATTACAAGACGCGAAAAGTAGCCGCCCAATCAAATCACACCCACGAGCGAGAGAGAAGTTAGTGACAAGAGATATTGAGATAGTGACGTCACTTCAGAAAAGAAGTTTTGTTGGCGACGGGTGAGGTGGTAGTGAAAGATTATTGCACTTATATAGCGACGTACATGCACGTGTGTGTGTGTGTGTGTGTGTGTGTGTGTGTGTGTGTGTGTGTGTGTGTGTGTGTGTGTGTGTCTGTGTGTCTGTGTGTGTCTGTGTGTGTGTGTGTGTGTGTCTGTGTGTGTGTGTGGCAGCTCGTATTATCTCTGACCAATACCGGTTTTATAGTGTTAGCCCAATGAGATACCATGCCACATTTTAACATGGATACCCACTGAGACACATACTGACTCCGAGCCGACCAGACCTTGTTTTATCACTTATTGCCGAATGCGAGGCAGAGTAACAACTAGTACTATCTCGTCCCGTCTTTTGGTATGGCGTGACTGGGTATCGAACCAACGACCTTCCGCTCTCCGGGCAGACACCCTATCCACTTGACCACGGAGGCGGTCTGTTTCTGAATGAGGCCAATGTATTTTTCTCAATAGAATGGAGGTACAATACATTAGGTAATCGAGCTGCTCCCAGCTGACACCCACTCTACTGCTCGTGCGTCATACGGTTCAGTCTGAATGAGATCTGTTACACTTACAGACATCAATCTTAAAGATGGCCGGGATCTTATAAGAAGAACCAGCATTGCAATTAGGATATTTTCTTTGAAATAGAAAAACGTAAACAGATTTTTTTAAATATCATCTAAATTTGTACAGCTCATCTTTCAAATGCAAATTTCCCGTAATAGGTGCACGATTTCAAAATGGGTCACTTATTGACCACTACACGACTTCACACAATCGCAGATAATAACTTCAAAGGGGAGACCAATTCTGGGTTCTCTTCACTTTTTGCAAAGATCAAAGGCTTATAAATGGCATTACTTTTGCTTATGTAACCCGTCATATTCTACTTGTGATTTCTATAACAAAAGCGCATATGTTCCAAAAAAAAAATCCAATTGTCATCCACGCACAGGTGTAGCTTTATGAAACATATGTGTCTGCATAGTCATTATGCACGGTGAATATATGGTGCGTCCTCTTAGCCTTGTCATTTTGTATACAGAACGTATTGGTATATCAGCATTGTTTGTTTGTTTTCTTGTTGTTTAACGCCGCACTTAGCAATATTCCAGCTATATGACGGCGGTCTGTAAATATCTAGCTGGGACCAGAAAATCCAGTGATTGACATCATGAGCAATTGAGCAACGATGGCCTGATCAACCAAGTCAGAGACACTGACCGACTTATCCCGTTAGTCGCCTCTTAAGACAAGCATGGGTTGCTGAAGACCGAATAACACGGATCTTAGCGGGGGGTATCGGAATTGACCTCTAAATTTAATTGGAAGCCAAACAATTCTTATGCATGTGTTTATTACGACTATACTTAACAAGATGACGCGGCCCCTCGAAACTGAATTAAAGAAGGTTTAAATTCCCTTATTCTGGAATGTATCTAAATTCTGGACTGAAAACAACGCGGATCAAACTTTATAATAGAGGAACAAATCCAAATATAGTTGCAGTTAATGTTGTTTAGTATAGGAGATATACTCCCCTGATATACCCCATTAATGTATTCTAAGAATGTATTCAAGTGACAGCCCAGTGATATATCCCCGTGATATACTTTAGTGATATATTCCAGTGATATACATCAGTGATATTCCTCAGGGATATATTTTAGCGATATACTCCAGTGAAATATGCTTGTGATATACTCCAGTGATATGCCTCAGTGATATATTGTACTGATATACTCCAGTGATATACATCAGTGATATATTGTAGTGATATACTTTAGTCATTATATAGCAGTGATATTCCTCAGTGATATATTTTAGCGATATTCTCCTGTGGTAGTGACATACAGCAGTGATATTCCTCAGTGATATATTTTAGCGATATTCTCCTGTGGTAGTGACATACACCAGTGATATTCCTCAGTGATATATTTTAGCGATATTCTCCTGTGGTAGTGACATACACCAGTGATATTCCTCAGTGATATATTTCAGCGATATTCTCCTGTGGTAGTGACATACAGCAGTGATATTCCTCAGTGATATATTTTAGCGATATTCTCCTGTGGTAGTGACATACACCAGTGATATGACGAATACAAACCACCTCCCTCCACCTCAGTCATATCCAATCGGCGGTTTATGCAACACAATTTCCTCTGCAGTCCCTTGATGCCATAAATGACTCATTAAATTATAAATGATGAAAGCAATATGTGCAAATGATACTTTGTAAATTCATGATCAAATGTGATAACAAAATTACCATTCATATCAGATTTCTTGTATTTATTAATACTCATATATAACACACTCCGGCAATAGATTTGCGCAAGTTATTTTTTTCTGCATCATTAACGACAGAGTTTAGGAGTTTCAGAGAGACAGGTCTTGTAGTGTTTTGGCGAATCTAGTTAAGTATTTACGAGTGAGTGAGTGGGTGGGTGAGTAGGTGGATGAGTGAGTGGGTGGGTGAGGAGGTAGATGAGTGAGTGAGTGGGTGGTATTCGAGTGAGTTAAAATTAAGTCGAGTCTGACTTGAACACGTTTAAAATTATAATGGTACCAACTAGCAATATATTTCATATTGACTTAAAACCAGTTGGATACTATTGAAAATATCTGACTATTAAACAACGATACAACCGAAAAATGGGTCTCTTGATCGACAGCAACAAACTACAGTCACAATACTTGGGACATGGCCTCCCGCTTCATTAACAATGATTTCAGTGGTTCCATTTCAAGCAATTATCCAGAAAGGCTTATTTTCTCACTGTGAATGTCTTACGACAGTAACTATAGGGGGAATGACTTTTTTCAGGTGAACAATTGACTTGCCTTTGCATGCGTTTGCGACACATGTTTATGATATAGTCGAAATCCCACATTGGTCCGTGCTTTTAGCAGAAATGTCTTATGGTTATGGAAATGGTTAATGTTTTTTCTCTCTGGGTGTACTGAACAAAAACAGCCGTCTCATGAGGATCGAGAGGCACGACGCGGGGATTTGGCTGACTGTGTAACCTCATGCCCTGATGGCGTGAGATGCTGCCATTGCTGTCAGTCAATGATTTGTCTGGCCCGGACTGGATTATTAGCTGACCGCGATATAGCTGAATATTGTTGACTGCCGCGTTAAACAAAACTCTGGAATGGAAATGAATTGCCACTGTACCTACATGATAGGTTCATCTCGTCTTCTGCAACATAGAGTCTAACCCTTAACATGCCCCTAAATAGTTAATGCACCATCTGCAGAGCGGAAGAAATACCGATCAGAGGTTCTAAACCTCACAAGTGTTTTTCGTCATGGGTTGAAAGCTCTAATGCCATGCCCTGTGACATTTACACAGAAAAAGCCTGCCCTTGTCTCCTGTTAAGTTCTTTCCTTGAAACATTCACCCATCTGGTCTGCATCCTAGCTACTCCTGCGTGCCGCATCCTGTCACAAGGACATCAAACTGAGTCCTGCAAGAACACCACGTCTTTCGCCTAAATAATTCCAGATGACGCGAAATCTTACAATGACAGAGCGTAATTACCCACTTGTGTAGTTAATCACCCAGAGGTTGGAGAAAAGTAATTGGATTTGACTTGTATGGCTCACGTTCCAGCCCTGGGACAGGCTCTGCTGGAGAGTCAGAAAGAAGACACTACGTCGTTATGGAGGCACGTGCACCGGGCACAACGTATTGAATTCCGTTGTGCAAATAGGCAGAGGAATTTCTAAGATTTAGATACAAGAATTTCATAACCTAATAGCTATAACAGATAGGGTGTAATACGGAAAATGGTTCGAAATACATCTGTAATATATACACAGCCGGACTGTATATTTGACGATGTGTTTTGTGCCTCTTTGAATAGATGGCAGTGCTAAGT